AATAACATAATCTGCCATTCCACATAGGACAGTGACTGCGACTTTAGAACACATTTTTTTAGGTTACAGGAATGTATCATGGAACACAGGAAAACCAATCCTGTCATACAATTTCCTGTTACTCTACACAGTCCCTCAATTACTCATTTAAGATTTAGTTAAGAATGTTATATACCTGAATGCATGTATGTATCTATATAAATATGTGGAAAGAGTGCCTAAAACTACCAGCAGGCCTCTTAGGTCACTGTAAGCAACTCATTTATTCACGCATCATGTGACCTAACATTCTGAGTCAGGCGCTCCGCTATATTCGAAGAATACGTGTGTCAGTTACCAATGCTTCTTAATCAGTTACCCTAAAACCTATTTAAAACAGTGAACATTTATCCGCTCATAGTTTAAGGGTTTGAGTGGCTCTGGTTCAGAGTTCCCACGAGTCAGTGTGTCAGCGGGGGCTGCAGGATCCTCTCCCAAGACGGCCCGCTCACACGGCTGGTCAGCTGGTATGGGCTACAGGCAGCCGGTCCTAGGGCCTCTCCCGAGAACTGCTTAAGTGTCCTAGCCCTTTCATGACCTTGTCTCAGAAGTCGCACACCATCAGTTCCACCATGTCCCAGCGGTTACCGCTGTTGGGACGGGGGGCAGGGAGCCACATGACAGCACCCACACGAGGAGGGCAGAAGGACCGGAGGGCATCTTGGAGGCCCGCCACCACGGAGTAAGGCCAGACTCTGGAGAACGTCTATCAGGGGCCACCTGATACACAGTGTGTATGTGTATACACTGTACACAGTGTGTGTGTACACTGCCATCCGGTCTGCATCCTCCATCCAAGTCACTGTCAAAGGGATCCAGAGGCTATGACCATCCTCCCCTTACCGTGAGGTGGCTGAGAAAATAATCCTAGTACAATGTGACGACGCAGCCTGGGGTACTAGTGCACGGACAAGCAGCTAAGGGAACCCAAAGGAGGACTTCCCCTGGCTCAGTGAATCAGACAGGACACTCAAGTTGGATACTGGACCGTAAGAAGAGGTACTCAGAATAGTGACTGAAATGAATCAAGATTTCTTCCTCCATCAATAGCAAAGAAAAACACTCTAAAGCAACCCTGGTCAACCCAGGTTCTATGGAAAAGTTAAGTCCTAATGCTCGAAGGCAGCAAATGCACGCAATGAATGAATCTCTCGCACGTGCATCTAGAAGGCAGAGCATGTCCCATCCTTGTGAGAACTAAGAAAACAGTTACTGAAATTCTTTCTGTGGGACTGAGTTCTTTCACACAACCCTAGTTGGTAAAGACTATAAAATGAGTTGAGAAGACAGCTCTTGGACATAAATAAAGCAATGCCGCAAACAGCCTCACACGCAGTTCCTAAAACAAATGGAAGAAAAACGTAACTGTGTGTAAGAAGGTGCTACAGAGCTACTCCAGAGGAGCCAGGAGACGACATGGTGACCCAAAAGGTCAACAGAGGCCTGGCCACACCCAGCCCACCACGAAGAGCAGAACTTCCTCAGAGGCAGTTACTGGGAGATGAAGTTAGCCACCGCCCCAAAAACCCAGGGAGTCCAAGGAAGAAGGGAGAAAGCAACGAGGGGAGATAGGAGCCCTCCAACGTACACCCTCCACCTAAGTAAACGTTAAGAGGTCAAGAGCATTCGGGTCTAAGTTAGGGCTTCCAGAGTCACTGTGGTCTGCAGCAGTCTTGGTGTGCGTGTGCGCACGCCTTGTGTCGTCCCACCAACACCAGTGTGCTTGAGGCTCTAAGGTTCACAACAGGGATGGGAACACTGCATCCCACACTGCCAGTGTGGCTGCCCCACACAGGAGGGGCTCGTTCGTGTCCACGTGCCATGGCGCACGGGGAGCCGAAACCTGTATGCTCCTGATACAAGGCATCTTGATACAAGGCAGCTTGTGTAACTGGGAGGGGGGAATCCCTACAGTCAAAACCACAAAGCCAACTTCTGTTCGGCAAGACTGCTATTATTCATCCTCTGAAAGACCAAATCATAAGAAAATGTATTAAGCCACACCTTGCAAGTCACGACCGCGCGGCATGCCACAGCTTGAGAGCAACATTACGAAAGAGATCCTGAACCGTGTGCGCTAATCTAAATCACCCCACCTCAGGGCCCAGCACCTTCTGTAGTCCTCTAGCAGTGACCCCTACAAATCCCACTCTCCCCAGTACAAGCTTCGTAACAAAACCATACACTTAAAACCATACCTCAGAAACCATACACTTAAAATGAATATACATTCATTCCTAAGCTCGCCTCTTGCTACGCATGTGTTTTAATGTATTTATCTCTGCTACTCTTTCCATTTTTTTAAGTCCCGGAAGACAGAGATCATGGCTTTCCCAGAATCTAACCACAAGCCTCGTGAGGTAGCAATAATAAGCCCTATTTACTGCTGACACTAACTGGCTTTGAAGAGAAATTCACGGAAGGCCGTATTTTAAAATAGGAGCCTTTCTGCAAGAGCCACAGTACATCTGAAGAGCAATACATGCATATTCAATATTGCTACATACAGGGAGCCCCAAAGCATCACCAAAACCAACCTGCCTTTCTAAAACCAGACAGAGGGGGGCGGGGGGACACTACTAGAAGTCTCTGGGACAGTTATGAAAACCCAGGCCCATCTCCTGCAGCACACGTTTTGAGTAAGTCCAGGCTGCTATCAGCAGGCACGCACTGGAGCCCAGGACACACCCAGAGCTTGTGGCCTGTGACCTGATTTCAGCATCATTTTATATTATATGTGAGAATTTGGTTTTTCTTTGCTTTAAACAAAAGCAGCTATATAAAACTATCTCAAAGCTGTCACGACACTGAAATTGCAGGAAGGACAGTGACATATCCGTGTCCCAGTACAAGTCTGCGGTTGAGCCAGGACTGAACCACTGGCTCCCGATTCCCAGGCCCGGGCTCTTCCTGCGTGCCACAATGGCTCTAAGGGCTGACCACAGACCCTTTATACACACAAATCCCACAGGGTACATGTGAACCCATCGATTACAAAGGTCAGGAACTCCAAGTATGGACCTTATTTCCAAGGGCTAGGCGGTCCCTTCCTTCAAAACTAATTAATGTTTAAGGAACAGAGCCACCCAGAGCATATACTTGTCTGGGAAAAAGACCCTTAAGGCTCCTCCAAAAACTAACCCTTCTTCCAAACATGGAAGTTTCCTGGTAAAGGAACAAAATGCCAACGCAAGTGAGAACCAAATCCTAAGATCTAGTCAGCCTAGGAACCGCATGCAGGTCTTCCTTGAACGGGAGGAATGCAACTCAAAGTCTCCCAGGGTTTGAACAAGCAAAGGATTCACAGAGCCTCCTGTGGACATAGGACTTGAAGAGAACGGTCTCAACTCGAAGATCGGCCACTCAAAAGTTATTTCGGGCTTCTTAACTGGCTTGTGCCATTTCTTCGAAGACGAAAAAAAGTCTTAAATGTATCCTTCAGTCTATAAAAAGGGCAATAAAAACGCAAACGCCCACACAGATGGCGGTGGTGCGGTCCTGCATCCTGGCCAACAAGCTGAGGTGTCCTCGCAGCTGGCCACTGAAAAGCCCACCACATGCAACTGACCTGCTCAAACACCCACTCTAGAATCGGGTAAGCAGTTGAAATACCGTAATGTATTATTTGCCACGAAACAGCAATTTTCTCCACAGAAATAAAAGTCCTCAAGTAGAAAATTAAATTTCAACTTAATGAAAAGATTCTCCTTTAAAATATAATCACCAACTCTGCCAATAAGAAGGTACATTTGGAAAACACTTATCAAATTTGTTCCCGAGAAGCATCCATCTCCTATTTCTGTAGTGAGATGGCCCCATTGTGTAATATCACATCTACCCGGCCACTGAGCTAAGAATCAGCTGTTAAAATAAGTCAGTCATGAGAGAAAGTAAAGTACAGGAGAACTGGAAGTTTTCCCAATGAAAAAAACACCGAAATATAACGGGAAATAATACTCTGACAGCAACTCACTGTACTGTAACCACTTTCAGAATCACACAGTCCGTTATGAGATGTGCCTGCCCCTAACCCGCACAGCTGAGACTCAGGGACTCCCAGTGTTCTCAGCAGGTGGAAACAGCCGTAACGTGACCCAGCGCCTGCATCCTCACCGGCGCTGAACCTTTCTCATTAGAGCTCAGGACTCACCAAGCTTATTCTCCTCCTAGAAGCCAACTAGAAAATGACACTTTGCAAGCTCTCTCTCTTCTCAGCATCCCCTCCCCCATATCTGCAGTGCTGGGATTTCCTGCTAAAGTAGTACTGAGTTTCACCTACCACATTCAAGAACAGTCAGAAATTCCCCCATCTCCCATCTTTCTCCCCCATATCGGAGAGGGCTCTCTGGAAGGATAAAAAGTCAGGAGACCGGGAAGCAGGGTGAGGGTGCAGGTCACACGTTAACAGCTTTCAGTAAAGACCCTTTATTCCTACCACTTATTTGCACTGCTTCGATTCTATGCTGAAACCCAGTCTCGTCCAGACTTGAAGCCTGCATTGTTTGGGGACGTTTTCCTAAGTCTCATTCCATTTCTCTTTTAAAACACCCAAAAGTCTCAATCCTCATCACTACACAGGAGGAGGAGAAGGAAGATTAACTTAACGAACTTTGGCTCTTTTTAAAAACTGCACTTTTTAGAAAAACTTCCGTGAGAAGTGGATTATTAACCAAATCACAAGATGCCTGTGCTTGCCCATGCTCACAGCATCATTGTAATCTCTTATCCACGGCGGGCACACCCAGAACAGAGTTCACCATTCTGTTTAATGGTTGTCTGTTAGAGAAAAACTGCTGTGGTTAAGTAAAGTGTATGCGGCTGAATGTCAATCACATCAGAGTCTAATGGTCTCCACCAGCACACAGTTCTTAGTGAACTATCAATCCCCAGAGTCGGTCTAGGACGGCGTAAACTGAGATTACCAGAGGGCGCCCAAGAGAATGGAGAGTCCGGTTACTTACCTTGTGCAGAGGGAGCACAAGGAACGCCCCGCCCCCACTCGCTTCTATGATTATGGCAACAAATCGGGGATTGACAGCGCAAAAGGAACTATCCCAGGTCACTCGAGAAACCCGGATGTCATCGTAACACTGGTCATTTTTCACCGCTTGTCCAAATACGTGCCGAAACTTGCTCTGTCGTACCACTCGCCTCATTGTGTCTGCAGAAGAGCAAAAATCATGTTAAAATCATGCACTTACCTGAAAGCTCTACTTTTACAAATGAGAAACCCCATATAGAAGGAAAAAAAAAGAAATCAGAATAATACATTTTGTCTGCTCTCCCAGAAAGTAGCCAAATGGCAAATCCAAATTTCCTTCAGTAGCACATATTCAGAAAAAACTGCAAAATGCGTCAGGGAAAGAACTACAAAGAAATGAAAAATTCCTAATTCAAGATCCAGAGACAGCTCATCAGTTTTAATTTCAGGAGAACGATCAAGGCAAAGAATGAAGGAAAATTAGCCTTTCAGGGTTGGGTGGGAATCGAAAGATAGCTCACTCCAACCCTCCCCACTTATAGAAAAGGAAACTCCAGAGTGAAGTTATGCAGTGAATTTGAAGCTAAAGAAAACCCCCCCAAAAGTTATGATGTTGTGGCTTTTTCCTCAGTCTGCCAAGGTAATTTTTCAGATTTTAAGCATTTTCCCCAGACATCAGCACTCTGCCGAGAACTCTGCCTGCTTATGAGTGTTTCCACAAGACCAACTGTGTGTGGTAGCAAATTCAAGAGACGTAAGCAACCATCCTGGTCTTCAAGAGCCTCCCAACATAGGAATACTAATCAGGGCAACTTACAACAGAACTCCCGGTGTTAAGTGCCGATAGACTCTGACTAACGCAGCAGACGGGGCAGCAGATGGGTCAAAAGGCAGGTCTTAGAAAAGAGCAGCAAAGATTTAAATAGAAATCAGTGTAATAAAAGCACTATTTAAGATGGTAGTAGCAGATTGGACATATCAGACAGGAAGAAGCTACAAGCAAGGTGCTGGCTGAACTGTGGCAGTAAACCAAGCCTGAGAAACATCTGGGACATTATGGCAGCAGGAGTCAGAGGAAAAGAAAAATTCAGGGAGGGGAAATGAAACCAGGTTGGGTTTTCACATCCGAGCTGGTCATTCACCAGAGCCATTTCCCAAGTAACCAGGGGACCTGGGAAAAGGGAAGTGACATTGGGCTGGTGTTCCTGGGCTTCCTCATGGGTCACTTTGGACTTCAAATTCCATCAGGTGTCCCAGAGACATGTGCACTGAAGGCTGAATGCTTTGGGATCACGAGGCCTCACTTGATCGAGGTCTCCTAGACTGTCCCCAATATCCTTTTCCTGTTTGCTAATGCAAGACACTCTGTTCCTACTGGCTAGGATAGAAGGAGGCTGGAGAAAACAGAAGAGGAAATGGAACATGGTCAACCCGGACAAGTCAGCTGAAAACAGTACTCCTGATCGCTGTGCACAGAGGAAGGTTAACACCTGTCCACTCGCGCCAAATGGGACACGGGGTGGGCTGTTGCTAATTCCGCCTCTCTGACTCCCTTCCCCATGGCTCTGAGCCCACTGCTAAGCACAGAGGGAGACCATTTCTATTTGCCAGAGACTCCTACCCTTCCAAGGCATGTGCAAAAGTGGCCTCTTTCCAAGCCTGGGGCATGTGGCTGGGCCGAGGCAACAAACGCTTGGCAGGCAGCTGAGCACCCGTGTTCCTCAGCCCAGCTGTTGCCAGACCTTTCCAGCTGACGACCAGGACCATATATTTAGAGTATTTGGTAGAGACGATGGCAAATGATTCGTTTCCACTTGGCCAGAGTCTGTCATTTGTGAAACAGTATAAGCACTTCTCAAGCATGAATAGATAAGACAGCTTCCAGGAGGTGGTGAAAACCAAAAGAAAATCACATCCATACAAAAGTCTGTGTACAGCCAGCTGGTGTCAGGATCCATTTCCCTAAACAACCATCTGTATAAGTTTGCAAAAGCTGGATCGTCACCACTATCTTCCAGCAAGTGCTTCAAAAGTAAGTTAACAGAAAAGAAGGGATTGCACCATATGTCAGAGAGTTATCGTTCATATATATATAAGGTTTTACAAATTCAAAACACAAAAACCCCAACAGAAAATTTACAAAGGACAGGAAGAGGTAATTTACAAAAGAAATACAAATGGCATTTATCTCCACTTCTTCCTAAAATCCTAACAAAATGCTGTAAAGGAACAAAAGTAGGTATAAACACCAAAGCAAGAAAAAGGACACTGGAAAGAAGCCTACAAAAGAGCAAACGTGGAGACGCCTGGCTGGCTCAGTGGGTGGGCGTGCGACTCCTGATCTCAGGGTTGTGAAAATTAGAGCCCCATTTTGGCTGTAGAGATTACTTTAAAAAAACAAAGTTCATTTATGTATTTTGGGAGACCGAGCATGCGCATGTGAGGGCGGGGGCAGAGAGAGAGAGAGAGAGAGAGAGAGAGGGAGGGAGGGAGGGAGGGAGGGAGGGAGCATCCCAAGCAGGCTCTGTGCTGTCAGCACAGAGCCCGACCGGGGGCTCACTCCCATGAACCGTGAGAACATGACCTGAACTGAAATCAACAGACACTTAACCAACTGAGCCACCCAAGAGCCCCTAAAAAAAAAAATCTTCAAAAAAAAAGTGACAACGAACTCTAGGAAGACAGAGAGTTGTCATGCATGTGTAACTGACTCAGCTGAATGCCTCAGGAAGACAAGCTCACAAAAGGATGCCCGCCAAGGCCCACTGTGAAAGCCCAGAGCACTCAGAAGAAAAGTTGTATGCCTCTAAAGATAGGGATGTGAGATAAAGGTTGCAGAAAAAATGAACTGAAAGCCTAAAATTAAGAGCAGCTAGAGACCGTCCTCCAGCGCTGCCCTATCAGGGGACTGCCCCACACCAGCCTCCGCAGAAGCCTGGCCGCAGGCCCTGGGTGGGATAACACCCAGCACAGGTGTGAGCACAGGTGTGAGCAGGTTCCACTGACCACCTAGTTCTGAACAGTGGAGCCTCCAGCCCTTGTTCCGGGGGCTCCCAAGCCCAGACACCACCCTCTCTCCACCCTCCCTCCATGAGTTCCACTGCTCAACCAGCCCCACCACCCACACAGGGCATCAGGACAGCTTCTTGTGCCTCCTTTGAAATGTGAATGGACATTTGAGGCCTTCCTCAAGGCCTTTAACTTAAAAAATAGAGACCATTTTTCCTCTTTACTCTAATAGGCTGGATACCATCTAATCTCACCAATACTATGAATACTATATAAGCAGGTAAAGTGCTTTGGATGTCCTCACTGAAAACAATTATGCAAATCTGCTGGCTGGCTGACATACTAAAACACCCTTAAAAGTCATTTCTATATCACACGTAGTGACAACTTATTTTCATCCTGACCACACGGAGTCAGAACGGAGCAGTGCAGGCTGCGCAGCAGAGCAGTGAGGAAAGACAGCGCTTGCACAGCACCATGCTGACGGCGCCAGCTATGTTCCAATGGATCTGGAAGGGCAGTGTGAGCCCATCCACATCCAAGGTCGAACCTGATCTGGGCTCAGCTGTCCGCGTGTGGCACAGCTGCTTTTGCTGCACACAGCAGAGAAAAGCAATTACGAGGGCAGGCTCCAGAGTCAGACGGCCTTGTGAGCGAGAAGCACAGCTGTACCATTTACGTTCTGGCCAAGGTTCAGTAGGGCAAGTCACTGAATTTCTGTAGGTGTCAGATTCTCTATCTGAAAATGGGTATGATACACATGAAACTGAAGTTATTATTAAATGAGCACTTGGTATTGCGATTGTAGCAGGAGATTAGTATGTTAAAGCACTTTGTATAGTTAGAGACACCTAACTAATTACGCAAGAAATGTTAGCTATTGTTATCATCCTAGAACTTAACAAAGTAATTTGGATTAAAATCCCAGTTTTGCCACTTACTAGTAAATTACTTAACTTTTCTGAGCTTCAGTTTCCTCTTCTATAAAACGAAGGAATTGATACTTACAAGAATTAAAAACCACATCTGACAAACCCAGGTCCAGATAGATGGTTTCACCACCAAAGCCTCTCAAACACCTAAAGAACTAACACCAGTTCTTCACAAATTCTTCCAAATAACACAAGAGGAGGAAACACCTCCAAACTAAGTCTATGAAGCCAGTATTACTCTAATACCCAAATCAAAGACATCACAAGAAAACAACACCAATATGTCTTCTGAATACAGACATAAAAATCCTCACCAAAATACCAGCAGACCAAATCTAGCAACCTATAAAAAGGATTATACACCATGACCAAGTGGGATTTGTCCTAGGAATGCAAGGTAGGGTCACCATCTGAAAATCAATCAGGGTAACATGTATCAATCAAATATAAACAAAAATTGTACAATCATCTCACACAAATAAAGCATTAGCAAAATCCAACACTTTCATGATAAAAACACTCAACAAACAAGGAATACAAGGAAACTTCCTCAAACTGATTAAAACAAAACAGAAACCCACAGCTAACGCAATATTCAATGATGAAAGGGGCTTTCTCTCTTGATCTCCAAGATCGAGAACCAGAAAGGATGTCTGCTCTTGCCATTTTTACTCAGCAATGTGCTACAGGTTCTAGCCAGGGCAATTGGACAAGGGAAAACAAAAACCAAAACAAAAACCCAGCAATACTCCCCAAACTGATCTACAGATTTAAAGCAATCCCTTTCAGAATCTTAGCTGACTTCATAGAAACTAGTAAACAGATTCTAAACTTCATGTGGAATTGCAAGGGAATCCCTCCCAAAACAAAACAACCTTGAAAAAGAAGAACAAATTAGGAAGATCCACATTTCTTGATTGCAAAACTTACTCCAAAGCAATGAAAGTCAGGACAGAGAGGTACTAGAACAAGGATGAACACAGATCAGTGGAACAAGGGGCGTCTGGGTGGCTTAGTCGGTTAAGCGTCCGACTTTCGCTCAGGTCATGATCTCACGGTTTGTGGGTTCGAGCCCCGCGTCGGGCTCTGTGCTGACTGCCAGCTCAGAGCCTGGAGCCTGTTTCAGAGTCTGTTACTCCCTCTCTCTCTGACCCTCCCCTGCTCACGCTGTCTCTCTGTCTCTCCTAGAAATAAATAAAAAATAATAATAAAAAAATTTTAGATCAGTGGAACAAAATT